GTCATATTTTTATTTCATTTCCGATATTATTAGTCTTATTTGTTCTAAGCCATCTTCAATAGCGGCAGTGCAATTGCTTCTGGCTTCTTGGGCTTCAAGTTTTATTTCTTCAGCAGTTTCGATGAGTTCTTTTAAACGGGTGCTGATGGATTTGCTGATTTGGTTAGCAGCTAGCGGGATGCTTCTTTCTATTATTTGCTCAATTTTAGGTTGACGAGGGTTGATGAATTTGCCATTAAAATGGTCTAACTGCTTGCTATCAAACAATCTTCAAAAAAACTCAAACATCTCACCTCATTTAATCTTTATCTTTTTGGGTTCTTTTTCTTCATTATCGTTTTCTTCTTGCTTATCGTCTTCTTCATCTTTCTCCGGTTCATATTCAGCGTTAGGGTTGGCAGCGATAAATTTGTTTCAAAAAGGGATAAAGTCATTATCGAAATACATCTTATTAAACCTATTCACTCATTTATTATCTTCATCAGCAAGAGTATCAGTATCTGTTCAGTGTTGAGGAAAATCATTAGTAATTCCTGCTTCTGAGGCATATTTCATAAAGTCCCCCAAAGTTCAACTGAAATCTAAGGGGTTGCTTAGACGACCGGGCTGATAGACAGCTGGATTAATTTGATCTAAATGGTTAGTAGCAGCTATTCATAGATTTTGACTTTCATTTATTCTATTATCACTACCCATACACTCTTTTAAGAAAGTTAGTTGAGTAGACTTAGAAATTAAGGTGCTAGTAGTTATCTGATTGGCCTCATCAATGAACAAAATATAGCGAACTTCTCCGTTTTCTTCTCGTTTAAAGTTAAAATCATCAGTAAGAGTATAATCAATATCACAAAGTGTAAAGACAAACTTTCCTAATGGATCAATTCCAGCCTTGTAGTCTAAATCCTTTGGTGTTAGACTGGAACCCTGAATTACTACTAAGGGATACATATCAGCCTCATAAGCCAGTTTCTCAGCCATTACTGATTTACCGGTGCGAGGTGCTCCATAAAAAAGAGCATTGTTGTCTAGTTTAGTCACTGAGTCTCGTTCTCCTCTTATTGGATTAGTCTTAACTTTGTTTTCTCATTCTTCAATTAAGGTGCTGAATTTGTAAGTTGGCACGTCATCTCCAAGTTTAATTTCTTCAGCTTTTTTGTGTCTTTTTTCTTCTTCAGATAAATCATCTCACAGCGAAGGAGGAAATTTAATTTTGTAAGAAGCAGCAATATTAAAGTGTTCGGGCTCTCTGCCCATTATTTCTTTCATTTTTGACAAAGCCTGTTCAAAAGTTTGCACGTTATCCATTAGTCATTTGTCAGCTCAACTTTGTTTCTCTTGTTTTCTCCTCTTCCAATGCAACCCCTGCTTCTTCACTCTCTCCTCAACAATTAATGCATTTGCTTCTGCCTGTAAAGTAGAGATATTATTTCCATCTGAATTATTTATTTTTCGAGAATACTTCTCAATAATCTTTTTAAATTCTGGTAATTCTTTTTC